TTTGGTTTCATCTATTCTTAAATAACATGAAAGTTGTTTCTAAGTTATTGACTTCTAGCGTCAACAATCATTAGTCGATATTTATCTAACGAAGTGAAGCGACGAGAATACTGAGTACAATTAGAGAACAAAAGTGAATGATTGTAAGTGATCTTCTTGTTAAAAGAGTTCATAACGCAAATTAATTAAAAAATAATTCAAAATTTCTATATGTTATAGAAGAGACTTATTGAAAAGATTTACCAAGGTCTACAGCTGTCTAATACTGGTCATCAGGATTGGGATGTTCTCCCACACCAACATCTACACGCACACCTTGATAGATTCTGGTAGACTCAACCGTAACTATTGACACACGTGTGTAGGTGTAGCATAGAGTTTTAAGTTTTGAGTCTTTTCTTCAGTAACATTTACATTCGAACTATTTCTTCTTCGGTCAATATTCTAGATGGAAAAATTTGTTTCAAAAATTTGTTTCATCATATGTATCTTGACAAGAATTACCATGGTGTGCGATTTAATTGAGCCTTTCCATAGGTCTACATATATATTTTAAGAGTCCAAAGAAAAAAAAAGAAGATATGATAGTAGCTATATCGGATTTTTTGTGATAGTTATAATTTCTTTCTTGAGACAACCAGCAACAAGAACTGTCTGTTGTTCGACATATCTGCTCAAATCGACAACAATCTGCTGAAAAAGATAGGCCCATGCTTGCTTATGATGATGTGTAAAATTTTCGCCTAACACCGAACTTAATACGTGTTCCATAGAAGATTTTGCTGCCTATTTCAAATAAAATAAATGAAATTTTTATTCGTATTCATTAATAAAATCTACCTGAAAGTAGGCCGGTTGTACATCGTACATAAGATGGATCTGACCAAGACTTTCAAGAATACGACGTCGTTTGTCATAGTCGTCGATATTGTTAATAATTTCGTTAAGAGTATACATGATTTTTGCAGCATGATAACGTACTTGTGAATTTTTCCGAATTTCTTCTTCCACTTCAAGAGTAGCGGCAAAAATCCAGAGTTTTCTTAGTTCAGGATAATCTTGAAAAATTCTAGAAAAAAAGATCTACATTCGATTGAGTTATTTAAAAACATAACTTAACATACCGAACCATAAAACTAATGCCAACTTCTTCGTAATATCTATTGCACACATGGATCCAAGTATCTCGAACAAGAAAATGACTTTGCTCCGCTGTTAATAAACTCGGTACATTTGTCATTCGTGATGAATTACAACCCATGTTTATTTAAAGAGCATGCAAAAAGAACTCGAGTATCGTGCTCATTCATGACATCAAATGTGACAATGTGAAAGCTTGACTTATTCTTAATATACCATTATGCAAGTTACGCAGTATGAGAGCACATTGTAAAATAATCCAGGGGAGTAAAGAATCGACGAGTTCTGTTGTTGAATCTGACACCTAAAAGAATAAGGCTTTATAAATCAGCTTCATATTGCATTGTTAGGAGATAAATAGATGCTGCTTAGGAAAGACGTTACTAAACTTTATTTTTTTTTGTTAAATAAAGGTAATGACAATAGAAAAGAATTGCGAAACCAACGTTTGAGAGAAAGAAATACAATCAAATGAGAGTAGCTGTATTTTTGTGATGAAAATGTGCTAGGTTTTATGTTTTTAGAATATAAGTCAACAATTAATGTAGTAATGTGATTCGTATTGTGTTAGTTTTGTTAATCTAGTTGTTTATCCTCTTTCACACCTTTCAACAATGTCATTATGTTGTATGAATAGGACAAGTGTTAAAAATGGAAACTACGATACAGCAGCTTTCTATAGAAAGTCTTCGTCGACGCATTGTTGTTAACAAGTGTTAATTAAAAATTTTTCTATGTTTTTTTATAAAGACTGACATCCACTTTCCAAATACACATGAATTTTTTACCTTTTTCAGTCAGTGCGTTCTTTTCAAATGTTGCACTCAAAGAAAAAGAAAACTCAAAAGTAGTTTCATCTTATCTCAAGATGCATTTCTCCCAAATGATATCCATTTTTAATGCTCACAAAGTTAAAATTTAGGTCGATTATAGGTTTCCCAAGGTCTTGCTGAGAAATCGTACAAACAGTAAGTACATTAATCTGATTTCAGATCACAAAAATGAAATGTGTGCAATTATTTGCGAATATTTTAATTTACCACTATGATTGTGCCTTTTGATGCCCAATGCCATTTTCACCTTTTCCAGCACATATATTTATATTAGAAAAATCGGCCAGACACTCTTTGGCTCCAATTCATAGCCTGTTTGAGAAAAAATAATTGTGGCTTGTTATCACAAATATGCTGTTTTTGAGAGTGCGACTTGGGAAATATACAAAATATATATTAAAAATCTAATGTATTCGTCGACATGCTGCAATATTTTGCAAAAATTGAGACTTGCCGATATTCTACCAAACATGTATTTCAGAACTAAAAATTTCCATAATTATCTGTTTATTTTGAGTGACCACGAAGGACGCTTAAACTTCTTATGTTTTTTTTTCTGAAATTATTTGAATGATTAAAAAAAATATTCAGCTTGAGAGCTTATGAAATTGCAATATCAATGCAAAACTTTTTCTATTTTATTATTACATAGTTTATTTATTTAACAAAAAAGTAGTTATTTTCAATTAAATTAATATTTGATCATAATATGACTCTGATATAGTAGATAACTAACACTTCTATTGTCGAAGTCTATTGGTATGAATTATTTGAAGTAATATACTAATCAATACATGTTGTTTCAATACTATTTCAATTATATTATTCAATTCATTTCAATACCAGAGGATAGTTGACGAGTAACAATACTTTTAAGAGGCATTACTAATATATCAGATATTATAATAATTTTTCCAAAATTGATGTAAATTTTGTTTTATTTAATTGACGAGTCTTATTAAATTTTGCAGGAATAATGGCGGTTTGCAAAACATGCAAATTATAATCTGTTTATCTCTTTAGGATATCCCAAAAATCAATTGAAAATATATAATTTCCTTGCCATATTCTTGTGCATGTGTCATTTTAATTTCATTTAACTGTTATGCAGATATTTCCAACAGAAATATTAATGCACGACTAATAGTGATGAGCACACTTGGTACTCGTAGACTTTTTTCAGCTGAGTCGAACTGACCGGTTAAAACTCTTGATTTAACTGACAATAAACTGGTTCGTTTAATATATCAGTTAACGGCCTAGTTCTTTCGAGAAAAGGACGATAGTTTCTCGAAGGCATACAATGTCAAATTCATGTCATTCTTGGAGTTTTTAATAGAATCAACTTTAATTTTACGGTAGTACGTTCTATATACACCAATATAGAAATGAAGGAAAAAAATCTTTCAAAACTTTTCATTTAATAATTCACACTAATTGATATTAAACAACAACTAAACTTCGTTTTGGCTGACTTTATTCAATAGCGATATGATATCTGTCCAGGTATTGATAAGTTTGATGTTTTCTCATCTGAAATCATTATTTGACTCAAATAAAAGACTTCTCAATTCGTATAAACTAAGGCTGCCGGTAGAAAGACAAAATGAACTACAAAGTTTGGTTTTTATACTAAATACAATACGTTTAGGTTTCTTGATACCTAGATATTCTCATAGTTACAGGAGACTTATAGTTGTTGTGACTTTTACAACACAAGAAAATCTTTTCTAATATTTTTGTAATGAAAGCACGAACTGACAACTACTAGCTATGAAGAATTTCTCACAGTCAATTAAAAACAGCCGAGAAAAGTGAGCTCAAAATCCTGAAGTGGAATATCTTGAATTATATTAGATTTGACCTTGTAATGCTTAAACAATTTTTCATGACTATAATCAATTCATTCAGCATGACCAGAGGCGCTCATCGTCGAATGAGAAGACATAACCGTTTAATTTAGAGCTGGAATTTTGGTGCCGACTAGGACTTTGTCAGTCGAAAGCTTTCGTGCTCATATTTCTGGATCGTGAAAACCTTGAAAATCGATAAAAATAAGCAAAATAGACCAGATTCAGTACTCTGAGTGTTGATTAAAAAAAAGCAAATGAAAACCTACCGGTTCCAAGTATGGTAATGGAATATCACAACATCATAACAATGTCAATACTAATAAATTTCTTGTCTCAAAGTGATTTACTGAAATATAATTTAATAAAATATTTCTTTTCGGGCGTGGATCTGGGTCTGGTATGCGTAGTTCTCGAAGTAAGTGACAGCTTTGATGTTAGCATGGACTTGAGTATGAATTCGAGAGTTCGTGTTTGTCAGGATATAGATCTAGTAATTGCTAGATATAGCATCAACACCCACACCAATGCCTACGATGATACCTACTTCTATTCACACCGGCAATTGATATGAACAAGAAAATAATGAAATCGACAATCTTCGTTTTTCACTTTCATTCAGATCTTTCGTAAAAATCGCTTTAGTTCTTGGCCGTATGAGTTCCTCGATTCTTTTGTTTTCATTCATTTATATTTATTTAATTATCGTTCGGTTAGATGGATTCACGGTTGGAACTTGTTTATAAAAACCCACTGACGGCTTTATTATACCGTCTACCATGTGCGTCATTGTAGTAACTTCCACGTTTTGCCAAGCACCTATTGCCTATAATTGTAAAAGCTCGGCATCCTGAAACACTGCGACAGAACTCGCAACATTCTCCCAATCAAGTATAATTTTGTAACCGGCACAAGAGTTGCCTATGCAAGGAAAATCGTCAGTTTAGCTTTTAATGGACAAAAAATAATTATAATTGCGCCATACTAACAGACGTCAATGAAGTAATCGTCACCAGTGTTAATTTGTAGTGCTGCAGTAGCCATATTTGGAACAACATGAACCTGCTGTACATCTACAAGTTTGTCCCATGGTATGTTGAAAGAGAAGAAATAATCGGAAAGTAGTCAGTATAAGAAACATAACTTTAGCTCTAGAACGAAAAGATTAGAAGGTGACCCATCAAATATATACAGTATGCGAACGAAAATATTTGGTAGTATTCTCAAGATAAGCTACGCTGCTTATCTTAAGAATACTACCCAAGGGTGTGGGTAGGGGTGTCAGTGTTTGTATCCCTTGAAGTTCTGTTCTTCAAGGAACACGAACACATTTAACAATGGCTTTAAATGGAGATTCGAATGCTTTGAGCTGTCTAAATATTCTTGAGCGTCTTTTCTGTGGTAGGCTGCTTTGGATAGGGTTTGTGTGGATATGAGTAAAGACAAAACGCCCACTCACACCCGTACTCACATCTCACCCCACATCTACCCACAGTCAGACCCACAACCCTAACATTTCATATTGATAGACAAAGAACATAAATCTTATTTTCGATTTCATTTTTCAATAAAAAACTCTTTTCAAACCTTTTTTTTTTTATAAAATTTTCATCTAATATTTATTGTTTTACAAAGAAATATGAGGTAAATGATAGTTACTGATTAAAACTATGTAGTTAGCTGAATAGATTTAACTAATTTGAAATAAATTGATTAAGATAAATATTTTAATATTATAATGAACAATTTTATAGTAGATTTGCCCTCTGAAGTATTTGACGCCATTGTTCGAATAAATTTTTTTTAAAATTAGCATTATATATTTTCATGTTTGAACTAACTTGAGCCAAATTGGTTGTTTTTAATTTAATAACAAGTTCATCAGTTGAATTAAAGTAAATAATATGTGGCCATTGATAGAAATCAGAAAATTTTAACCAATAACGTATTGCATCTCGATCAAATTCATTATTAGGATCAGGTATATCAGGACCTAAAACACCTGATATTCTTGAAGCATTTTTTATATTTCCAGATATGCCATCCCAAGTTCGTTCGTTAACAACACGATATGTATAATGCCATTCAGTAAGAAGATCAAGTGATGGAAAAAATAATGGAATATTCATTCGATATTGTTCAAATAAACTCATAACAGATACTTGATATGGAATATGTATTATACCTGGATGTTGAGCTAGTTGAAAATATTCATAATGTCCTTTGTAAACGTCTCGTAAATGGCCAATCGGTATTGATATCTTCAAACGTTTAAATGAATCATTTAACATTGACATAAATTGCGAAAGAAAGTTTTTCGTATTCATATTCGCTATTATAAAAGGCTTTTGACGCCTTGGCCTATATGACGCCTTTGTATAAGCACATAATGATGGTAATACAATTGCTTTTATACCAGTAAAATATCGAATATATTCAGCATCATAGAGGTTATTACCAGCTATTACATTACTAATTAAAATAAAAAAATATCATTTAAAAATACAAATATAAACAAATAAACTTTGAAGCTTTCGTCAAACATAGAACAATGGAAAACTATGACTAAGAATTTGCGAATAAAACCCTTTTTTTTTCTTACATAGACAAATGCAAGCGTATTTCAACAATTCGAACTTTTAATAATCGCGTAGTAAAACATAAAATGCGTGTTCTATTTTAAGCCATAATATTCATATTCATATTTGACTCTTAGTAATACTGGATTATGTAGATCGTTAAATAGAAATAACCTAGCAAAAAAAAAACGAATAGAATATCTCGACCGTATTTTGACTGAATAAGTTCATTTTATTTTCCTAATAAAAGAGGATTGTCTTCTACGAAGTTTTACAGAATTGTATCAGATGTTCTTATAGAAAAAATCGCTGAGAAACCCGTATGATTACCACCAGGGGTCTAGCTAGGATTTCACCAAGGGAGGATGCACAAAATACGTAAATATTTTGAGTTTTTCCCTGATATGCCTCAACTGAAAACGAAACTGATTTTTACGAGTTCAAAAAATAAGCTATGAGCCGAAGTGCATCTTTTTTATTCATGAAAAAGATGCAGAAACAAATATTTATCTAGGACGAAGTTGTAAGAAGAAAAAGGATTATTTTGTTTATTCATCTTAAAAAATATTAACTGAAATTACATATATCACTATTGTGATGCTATATTTAACTTATAGCAGAACTTATCTATGACATGTCATCTAAAATAATTTTTTCATCACTTACAGTGCTCTAAATAATAAGCAAAAAATTATCAACAAGAAAAAAATCACACTAAATAGTTATTCACAGTTTGCCATTTTAAAAGAATAAATTTACTGTGAATATTTCTTTTAAAACCATTGTTGTATTCTAGTCAGATAAATATAAGTTTTACAGAAATAATTTAACTGATCTTCACTTAAAAATGGAAGTCTATTTCAGATTGCGATTAACTCCACACATTATTACCTACATCGTTTGCAAATGACATTCGTTTCCTTTCGGTAGGTTATGAATTATTATTGAACCTACAACAGTTTCGTATTAGTTCTGATCTTGACAATTGATACCACTAGACATCTCATTTTAAGTCAGCCCTTACATCTTTCATTGCTCTATTCCAGACCATGTTTCTGAACTGCATGAAAGTGCTGAAATGAAGCTAACAGAAACTCAATTCTAAAAAAAAACGAACTGCTCATTAGATTCAGTTCTCAAAAAAAGAATTGGTTCATAGCATTGGGTGTTGTTGCAAATCTAACTCTTATTCACTAAAAGTCTAATAAGAGAAAAACTATGAGACGTACCTGGAATCTTTGGGCACTCCTCTCCTAGCTACGCCTCTCACTACCACGCTAAATTTTGTTCGAGTACTTTTATAGAAACTCAAGCATAAGGACACAAACGTATCCGAAAAGTTTTTCGTATATTCGATATTGTACAGCTTTTTTCAATCATCATTTCAGTTAAAAGAACAAATGACGGTACTAGACTCAATACACTACTAAACATAATATTGTTCTTAAGTTCTCCAACAATTGGATTTAATTCAATATTTAGATTTTAGCAACTTGAGTTTTCGATGAAAATAGTAAAATATTTTTACTGAAACAATTATCAGAAAAGCTCTGAGAACTTAGACAAATAGATTTGAAGTTTTTTGTTTTTTTAACTAATATCTCATTGATATAATTAATGTCTTAATTGAAATGTCATCTTATTTCGAATGAGATATTACTCATATAAAATAAACAATTTGAAACTACTTCAATTATTAATAAAAAAAAAAAAAGTTTTATTATTATCATGATAAATTATTCTCTTCAATGAAATCTAACGTGCAGCTCGTAAATGTTTTTTTTTGTGTTGTTAATTGCAAACAACATTTTTTACTTTATTTTTGGATCAAATTTGTTTCGATTTCTAGTTGTATTTTTCTCAAGTTATCATTCATTAAAAGTCTAAAAGTTGTTGTTTACTGTTCCATGTTCCCTTGTAAATCTAATTTCAATGAAAGTTAAAATTTTATGATTTTGAAAATTTTGCTCGAAATAATAAAATATATTTATCTGAAAAAGTAGTTTTTCAATATTATTCATCCTACGTTTTATGTATTGAACGCAAATTCAATATTCTGGATCAAATCAATATCAAAATATGTTTAATCAAATTAGCTTTTATATCGATAAATTAAATCAAAATACGTTTCTATTCAATATTGTCATTAAAATTTTAATTATTTATTAAAAATAAAACTTAAGATACACATAAATAGCCAGCAAACCAAACTTAAGCGAATTTGTTTTTTTTTTCAATGTTTTCTTTCACATTATTCAAAGATACGAACCTCATTTAAATGGTGATACCGATAGTATGAGACACTGCCTACATAATTCACTGAAATAGGAGAGCCCTCTATCTGTCTATATAGATCTTTCATACTGAAAATGATTTTTTCGTGCAAAACTAGTTTTAAAGGCTTTTCAGTATTTTGCATTTTCTAACCAAGAGATTTGTCCTAAAATGAAAACAAAATAGACCAATCAATAGCGAATTTCACGCTCTATATTTTTCTAAAAACAAACGTTTTCTTCTCTAGAGTTGGTCTTCACTTAAAAATATCTAATTTTAACGAGAATAAAAGAAAAAATACAATTAATTTTTACTAATTCTGTCTTAGCGCAATTTATTACACATCATTAGAAAGAGTATTCAAAATAGAACAGAATAGTGTTTTTGAAGTTCTGATATCACTGTTTTTTTACACCTATCGTTTTAAAAAAGTGTTAGGAAACACAACTAACTCTTCTTTTTTAATTTTTCTAAGTGAAGATTAAATCTGGGAAGAAAACGTTTCTTTGTTGGAATGAGATCAAGAGTGAAATTCTCTATTGATTGGTCTATTTTGTTTTTATTTTAGCACAAATCTATTGGTTAGAGAATGCGAAATACTGAAAAGCATTTAAATCTATTTTTGCGTGAAAAATTCATGTTCAGTATAAAAAAAAGATCCCTATAGGCAGATAGAGCCCGCTCCTATTATAGTGGATAATGTAGCCAGCGTCTCATACTATCGGTATCACAATTTCAATGAGGTTCGTACGCTATAATAATGTGAACGAAAATTTGAAAGCACAAATATAAAAGAATATTAAAAAAACAAATTTGCTTACCCATCCAGCCCGCGCGCTTATTTTAAATTCTGATATGTCGGTATGCCGATTAGCTCATTTTTTGAGTCAATAATCCTCTTTCAATAAATTAAAAGATTGATACTTTAATGATTCATAGCCTACGGATTGAAAGGAACAATTCATTTCGACATATTAATTTCATTGGATAAGTTTTCCCCCAAAATCCTCGAGTCTTTTCTATTTATTTATCTGTAGTTCGTTCTGGAAGTAACTGAACCTTTCTGAGAGAAATACGGAACCATGGAAATCTATAGTACCGCGCATATAGGTGCCTTCTACTTTTCTCAGAAAAGATTGAGTTAATTTTCCAATACAAACTTCAGATCGATAAATAGAAAAAACAAGAGGACTTTCTAGGGGAAAAATTACCCAATGAAATTAATGTGTATGCCAAAGTGCATTGGTTCTTGAAAATCGCCAGACCACGAATCATAATGTCTTTTTTTTCGATTCAAGCACTTTTCATTAAATATGAGAATCCTTATGGATGGACGAATGTTCAAGTTTCATGAAATATGAGCTTTTTTCGATTCATTTACAACGAATTTAAAGAAGAAAATATTTGAAAAATCATATTTTAATTTTATCACAAACTGATGCTTTCCAAGAAAACTTTTGCTAGCTTGACATAAAAATAAACTATAGAATAAGAAAAATATATTTCGATGAATGAGAATATGTTCATGAAAACTATGATGAATAGAGGTGTCAATTTATATAGGCTTTGAATTTAATTTATGTGCAAACTAAGTTATCAGAAATTTAAATTATCACTAATTTAATGAATTATAAAATTTGAATTATTTACACTCCGCAATTTACTATAATTAAAAATTAAACTAAGTTTCCATAAGGTAGAACTCAGTGAGACTAGAAAAAGCCTTAAAGGAATTGTCTCCATAGGCCTTTCGTTCGGAGTTATAACCATATACAGACTTTCAGTCTTATGGTAAGCTATTCATAAGTCGAAAAGAACGGATTTTCATCTAAATTTTGTCTATAAGTAGATCTTATGATCATTAGGATATTCTGAGAGTTTCGGTCAAAACGGATGGTCCCTTCTCCAGATATTGAATACTAAGAAAAAGTCGTTTTTATGACATTTTTGTGACATATGATCGTGTTTTTGAATATTCAGTATCTCGAGAAGAAAATATTCGTTTTGACTGAAACTTTCAGGATATCCTAAAGATCCTAAGATCTACTTATGAGCAAAATATCACTTCGCTCAGTGATTAACACTTAGGAATGTTTCATCGTAACTGGAACAAAGTGTGTCAAAACATTGTGTTTCCGAATTCCATCCGGAATTTTATTTTAAAGAACTATGCTGATTTGTCATACATAGTACACGCACCGACCCCGCACCAGCGTGATATGCACTGTACAGTTATGCGTTGGTTGACATGGGCAAATTTTTGTCGCTGCCTGTATGATTACATGAAAAGTCTTTTATCTTATAAAAGTAATTCGTTAGTTTAGTTTTCAATCTTGACCTGTTATTAAAATCAAATCAACATCAAAAACTTTTTCATTGCTATAAGAAATTCGATAAAATAAAGTTTTTAATCGAATAACCAAAAATGCAAGAATTTT